ATAGTCACCCATCTGGACCCCACCCCACCCCACTCCGCTGTGCAGCTCCTATAGCACCCCATTCCTCTCTGGAGTCTTATCACACAGTAATTATTTCCTTATCTCTGAGCTCCTTCAGGGTAGGAAACAGATTCTGCTCCCCAGGGATCCCCCAGAAGCTGGCATATAACAGCAGCTGAATACATGTTTGCTAAACAAAAGTTGGGAAAACCTGTCTCTTCCCTCAATCCCCCATCCCCACTCCCTCCATACACAGCGTAGACTGTCCCCATTTAGCCCTGGTCCTAGACACCCACTGCCTTCAAAGAGACAAACAAAAAACACAGTCATCCCTCAGTATCCACAGGGGATTGGTTCCCAAAATCCGCGGATGCTCAAGTCCCTAATATAAAATGGCATAACAGAGCCAGCCCTCTGAATCTGTGGATGCAGGACTCACAGACAGAGGCCCGATGGTACGTGCACAATGAGTGCTGTGTGTCCCAGGGCAAATCACTTCACCTTTCGGCATCTCTTTCCTCTTGTGTAAAATGGAGATAAATGTAGCACCAAACTAGAGGCGCTATGAATGTGAGCGATGATGACAATAAAGCACTTTCCTCAGGGCTGGCTGATAGCAGGCACTCAATCGTGATGGCTGCTATTACTGGTTTTTGTTTTGTTTTTCAAGTAATACTGCAGACTCAGATTAGCACACTGAAAGGGCCCTTGGAGACTGAGTCCAACTCCCCAGCTTGTACAGCTGTGGAAACTGAGGCCAGAGAGGGGATCTCCAAGTCCCGCAGAGAGTGGAGGCAGAGCTGGGACTGGCTCCTTGGGAGGCTGTGCCTGGTACGGCAGCAGGTGTGCGAGGGCTGAGGAGGAGAATGGGAAGCCTAGACCCTGAATCAGATGTGAGCTGGAGTCCTAACTTGGCTGCCAGCTGGCCTGTGACGTTGGGCAACTTCCCTAAAAGCCCTCCCAAAGCTTCTCTTTGCACAAACCTCTCCTGTGTTTTATGAGGCCACCCGCCTCTTCCTTTTCAGATCACTCCACATGCTTTACTGTAAGTACCTGCTTTACAGTCTACGGTCCTGGCAGGCCAGGGGCTGTGTCCATCTCCTTATTCACTGTGGTGTTCCTAACACAGGGCCAGGCACAAAGGTGCTCGATCAAAACAAAGGCACGGGGCTTCCCTGGTGGCGCAGTGGTTGAGAGTCCGCCTGCCGATGCAGGGGACACGGGTTCGTGCCCCGGTCCGGGAAGATCCCACATGCCACGGAGCGGCTGGGCCCGTGAGCCATGGCTGCTGAGCCTGCGCGTCCGGAGCCTGTGCTTTGCAACAGGAGAGGCCACAACAGTGAGAGGCCTGCGTACCACACACACACAAAAAAAAGGCACTCTGCAGGTACAAAAGTGCTCAGTAGTTTATCTATTGATCAACAAATTGCTTATTAGGCGTCAGGCACCCTACACACTTCACCTGTTATCTCCAAAATAGTAAAAATCACACTTAAGATTTATTATGCACTAGGCACCAGGCTTTATAGGCATCACTTCACTTAAACCTTTCATTAACCTCATGAGGTAGGATCATTTATTACATCCATTTATTTGTCCAGATGAGAACAAACTGATAGCTCAGAGAGGTGGGGTCCTTTGTCCGAACTCAAGGCTAGAGCATAACTTTGGATTTGAACACAGACCTGCCCGACTAAAGGACATTCTCCTATTTTCTAAGCAGCCTTTATAAAAGAGTGAAAACCTTTCTGACATTTGTGGGCAACTTTCCCAAGGTGTAAAAGGGGGGCTGGCCAAGGGCCTGACACTCACACTGGTAGTACTCGGCGCTGCCGCTCTGCAGCATGATGGCCAGCACCAGTGTGAGCTGCGGTGTCATCTCCAGGAAGGTCTCAAAGAGCCGCAGCATGCTGATGTCCAGGGAGAGGAAGTCGGCATAGGCCAAGTCGAACTGGGTAGGCACCTCCTGCCGCCACACCAGCAGCCCCTGCCGCAGGCCCTGCACGCACCTAGGCAGTACACACGATGCCCCAAGGGGCCCAGTTAGCATCCTGTGGCATTCCTCCTTCCCTACCCATCGAGTGGATGCAGACAGGCTCAAATCCTAGCTCGTCACATACATGCTATAAGGCCTTGGGCAAGCGACTTACCTCACTGAACTTGTTTCTTCATCTGTGAAGTGGGGATAAATACAACAGCTATTACTTCTGCGGTAGCCACCATACCAAGCTCATCACAAACCTTGTCCCATTTACTCCTTTACAATATCCCCATTTTACAGATGGGGAAACAGGACCAAAGAGCAAATGAGCAGTGGAAACAGGATTTGGACCCAAAGCTGTTTGAATTTGAAAGGTGTACTGGGAAATTGCCTAAAGTGAGCATTCTCAAATTTTAGCAGGTATAAGAATTTCTTAGGATCCTGTGGGGAAGGAAGCCATTGAGAGCTTCTGAGCACAGGCAAGACAGGTCCTACTGTGCTACAGAAAGAGCACCCAGGGATCCATTTAACAGGCCTGCCCAGAGCGATGGGAACAGACGGGGCAGAGTTAAGAGAGTCCAGAGGTTGGACAGACAGGCCTGAGAGATCCACTGGCATGAGCGGGCAGTGGAGGATGCACCAAGATCTCGCCCCACCCAGAACTGATCTCAGTTGGCTATTGGAAGGTGAGGCCATTCACTCATTGCAAGTTCGTTCATCAGATGTTTACTGTCACTTCCCCTGGATGAACTTGACAACACACTCAGGGAGCAGACCCGAGTTCGGGGCGGGGGGAGGTCCCCCAGTGCCCTGGCAGAGGCCTCAGCCTAGTCACAGGCAGGAACAGAGACACCGTTTTCTCAACCAAAGCTCAGTACAGTCTGTCTGACTCATGCTCAGCAGAAACAGAAGCTACATGATGTAATTATAGATTCAGGGTTCACTGCGGGCTGCCAGGACTGTAATAACTGTGCCCCTTCGTGTTCACCCAAGGTGTTATTGATGCCTGGACAGTCCCTCAGGCAACACTGCAACATTCAAAGCTCCTCTCGCCCACTCCTGGAGACTCAAGGCAAGATCTGGAGAGAATCTGTAAACATGGATTCAAGAGCAGATCCTGGCTCCGTCCATCCCATCCCAACCCAGACCACGTCATGTCCTGACTTCACATGACTCTGACCCCTTCGTTTCAGTTTCCCCATCTCTAGAGGGCCCCTGCCTGAGCCCAACCCTACGTGGCTCCAGGGACATGGATGTGTCAGACCCCACCTCTGCCCTCTTGCTTGGTCTGGGAGTGAGGGGGTGGGGTGGGGAGCAAGTGTTCAGGGAGAATACAACTGGGAAAGACAGGGTGGGAGGCACTGGCCGTGAGGGAACAAGCGCTGCTCTGGGGGTCAGGGCTGCTGAAACTCCAGGGTGACCCAGCTGATCATGAAGCTAGCTAACACTTGCTGCCTGCTTACTCTGCACCAGGGCAATTTACAGGTCTCATTCCATTTAATCCTTACACTGTGAGCCTCTGGAACAATGAGTAAACTGAGACCCAGAGGGGTCAGGTGAATTGCCCAAGGCTCCACCCACAGCTAAAACAACGGGAGGTCTGTTGCCACCAGGCACTGTGCGGGGCGCTTCCCTCTCTGCCCTTCACCACAGGCCTGCCAGCCACACCTATCTCTAGATCACTACCTCCTTTAACAGAGGAGGAAACTGAGGCTCAGAGAAAGGCAGGAATAAAGCCACACAGGTGGTAAAGCCAGGATTGGATCCCAAAGGGTCCGACCCCAAGTCATGTGCCTCCCTTCCCTCTCTGGGCCTCAGTTTCTTCAGCTGTGCCAGGAAGGGTGCCGTTCATGAGCTCTGAGGGCTGCCAGCAGGATTTCTCCCTCATCAGGGATCAGGAACTCACCTGTAGGGAGAGGCGCCCGCTAAACTACAAGGCGCTTAGTTTCCTCCTCGGGGTCTCAGTCCTCTCCTCTCCGCCCCCGTCGCGGGGTCAGGGCTCTCACCTGCGCTACCAGCCCAGCTGCAGGAGGTGACGTTGACTTCCGTTCCCCCTCCCTCTCCCGGAGGGCAGGGCGCTCACCTGTATAGGTAGCCCAGCTGCAGGACATGCAACAGCGCCAGGCAGTGGCTTGGGGGCTTCGGCGCGTGCGGGCTGGAGAGGTCGGCGCGCAGCCAGACCCAGCTGAAGAGCTGCAGCGCGACTGAGGAGAGGCCCAACAGCGCCAGCACTAGCGCGGCCCACAGGTAGCGACCGCTGAGCACATACTGGCTCGCGGCCCACAGGTCGGCGCCCACGTCGATCAGGAAGGCGAGGGTGCCCAATACGCCCAGGACCAGGTCCCAGAAGAGAGCGGCGCGTGGCGACCAGGGCATGACCCGCCAGCCTCTGCCCCTCTTTCTCTTCTGGGCTCGGACCCACCCTCCCGGCCCAGGGTCGCCCTCCCTGCCCAGGGTCGCGGTGGCAGGAAGGAGGCGGACACAGCCCTCGGGGCCGCCCAGGACTTGGGCTGCGGGGCGGGACTTCCCCGTCCCGCCCTGTCCGGGGAGGAGCGAGGTCCGTAGACCCCGCGGTTGGGGTATCAGCGGTCCCACAGATCCCTGGCGCTGCCGCCTGCCTAGGCATCCCCGCACTCTCACCCCAGCCCCGCTGAGCCCTGAGGGCCCCGAGGACCGCTAGGCCCGAAGACGGACCGTCCGAGGCGCAATGCCCTTAGCTTAGGAGGCTTCTAATCGCCTTGTTTTACATTTGAGGCTCCTGGATACCCAAAACGGCGAATATGGCCCGGAGATTAGCGCCCGGGCTAGAACTGCGATGTCTCACGTCTGCATTGTTGCAAAACAAAACAACAGAACGCCAAGGCCCGTTCCGTTCCCTGACTGAGGGACTTTGCTAAGTTTGCCTCCGAGTCCGGGCCGTGTGCCAGGGGAGACAGAGGGCACTGGATCAACCAGGCGCATCTTCCTGGCAGCTCATTTTACTCGGATTATCCGAATAGGAGGAGGGGGATTCAATAACTGGGCAAGGGAGTTACTTTAAACATGATTTACAAATTAATAACAGAATAACATGCACGAAGAGCATTGTGTTTGGGATAAAACATGAAACTTGAAAGAAATGTGCTTCTGGTGGGGCCCTTGGGGCTTCATTTCCTGATCGGCTGTCCCGTCCCAGTTCATTCTGCGGACGCCGGGGAAAGGGTGGAAAGTACAGCTCTCGGGGCTGATGCTCTCCCCATTTTACCAGGAGGAAGGCGAGCCAAGCCAATCAGCGGGCGGCGCCCAAGGTCACGGCACAAGCAGCGTGCGCAGGCCCAGCAGCGCCACCAGCAGGAGCGCGAGGCGGGGCGCGGGCGCGACGCCGGGGGCGCGCAGGCAGGCGGCATACCCGTCGAAGGCCACTTCGCGCAGCGCGCACACGTGCTCAGCTTGGCAAGCCTCGTCGCAGGGCAGCGTGTCGTAACTGACCGAGTTGTAGACGTAGTAGCGCTGCAGCGCGCCCTGGTCGCTGGCGATGCGGCCCAGCGCCGCGTGCATAGAGCGGGCGCCTGCGTCGGGCACGCCGTAGGCCTTGGTCACCTGGTACTCGAGCTCCCAGCGCGGCGCCCCCTGCGCGTTCGCCTGGCTCAGGTTCAAGAAGTAGGTCACCATGTCCTGCAGAGGGGGCGCGCGAGGCGGGCCGGCTGTGAGCAGCTGTCCGCTTCCGCCCCCAATCCTCCACCTTGCATTTGCCCCCAGATTCTAATAGCTGTAATCCTGACCGCTCTTAGTTATTGAGCATTCACTAGTTGCCCGGCATGCTTGGCAGACATCCTCTGATTGAATATGATGAGGTAACTGTGCTTATTTTCCCCATTTCACAGATGAGGAAACTGAGTCCTAAAGAGGTTAATTCACTTGGCCAGGGTCCCACAGGTGGCTGAGGCAGGATTGGAACCCAGCTTGTTTACCCCATAGCCTGTGCATTTTCTGTTGCAGCAAGCTCCCGGGTACCCAGAAGATTGTCAGTAAATATTTGCAAAAAGACTGGATAAAACGCAATATAAAAGCAGTGGGGTGGAGTGCCTGGCTGAGAGAGCTAGCTTATAGAATTGTGCTTTGAAGGGGGCTTGGGCTACACCCAAGACCCTGAGTACTCAGGTGCATTTTCAGGACTAGAATCTGGAAGGGTTTATCTGTGCAACACTTTCCACCTAAATTTGCAGATCTGCTTTAGGTCAGGAGAGGTGGGCTAAGAGGAGCTGCCATGGATGGATGGCAATTTCTTGCTAGGCACCTTACATTATTTCGTTTAGTCTTCCCCAAACCCTGTGGTCTGAGTGCCCATGTGGACAATGGACCACACTCTTAAAAATCCTCAGACCTCTTCTCCATATACATTCACTCTAGAGTCGAGGACCCAGGTTAACTCATGCAGTCCCTGGTTTTAAATGTCCTTTCTCAACACCCAGATTAAATCTCTGTACCCACCTCTTTCTGGAACTCCAGCTTGAATACCCAGCTGCCTCTTCTCTCAGCATTTTCACCTGGATGCCACTTAGACATCCCAAAGTTAACAGGAAAGCCAGCCTTCTGGTCTTCCTCCAAAATCTGCTTCTCCTGCAGTGAGCCCGTTTTGGTAAATGGCAACCTCATCCTTCCAGGTGCTCTGGCCAAAGCCTTGGAGCCCTCGTTGCCTCCTCACGTTCTCTTCCACCCTTCATCCAATCCACCAGCAAATCCTGTCTGCTGTGCCTTCAAAATACATCCAGGACCTGGCTCTCCTCACCACCCATGGGTGCCACCCTGGCCCACACCACCATCAGGTGGCTGTGGTCACCTCCTAACTGATCCCCCTGTGTCTGCCCTTGCCCCCTACAGCCTGCTCTCCACCCAGCAGAATGGTGGTTTTCTAAAATTCCAGAGTCATCCTCATGGCCTACATTACCTGACGCCCCATCCGCTCGCGACCTCCGCCATGGCCTCGTGGGCCTCCGTGCTCCTCCCCTAACACACCAAGCACATTCCCACCCTGGGCCCCTGGCATGCTCTTCCTGCCCCTTCCGCAGACGCTCCCACGGCTCACTCCCTGAAGTTACTCAGAATTCAAATGTCACCCTATCAGTGACACTTCCCTGCCCCATCTAACACCACACACATATACACGTACCCCGTAAGTGTCACCACCTGCCTCCTCACCCTGTTTTCATTTCTCCTTAGCACTTATTTCATGCCACACTTAACTTTATGTGTTTGTTTATTGTCTGTCAGCTCCAGGAGAGCAGTGACTTTTGTTCGCTTATGTATCTCCTGAGCTTAGCACGGGGCCTGGCACATGGCAGAGGCTTAACACGTTTTGTTGAATACATTAAGGAATAATATTTGTTTGTCATTTCAGTAATCACAAGCACATCCCAGGAGGTGTGGGATTGCTCATTGAGTTAGGGGCCTGCTTAGCTGCAGCGTAGTCAGTGTAGAGAAGACCTGGCAGTGGGCCTGAGGTCACACTGTGAGAAACCTTGAATACCAGGCCAAGGAGAGTCACACTGTGAGAGACCTTGAATACCAGGCCAAGGAGAGTCACACCGTGAGAGACCTTGAATACCAGGCCAAAGAGATCCAACTTATCTTGGGAGCACTGGGAAGCCACTGAAGGTTTTTGAGCAGGAAAGAGACAAGAAATGCTTTAGAAAGATTAATCCCCTCCTTAGCTGTACCAGATGAGCTACAGCAGGGCAGTGCTGGAGGCGGGGAGAACAAGTAGGAGGCCTTGACAATGATCCAGGGCAAAGGGCAATTTGGAGAATTGACCTGACTTGGTGGCAGGATTTGGAGGTAGAGCCAGGGTTCTTCTGATCCTGAGCTCTAAAAGGGTGGAAATAACTTGACCTTCCTGAGTCTCGGTGGTCAGTAGAGCGTGGGTCAGCTAGGGAAGGGAGTGGTGTTATCAGGTCCCTCCCCCCTCCTCCTCTGGCCCCAGCAGACCCAAGGCTCCTGACCTGCAGGCTCAGTGTGGCTCGGTCGTATTCAAACATCCGGATGGCTGGATTGTTGGCTCCGTTGACCACTCCAGGTAACGTGGTTTTCCATGGGGTGACCCCAGGTGTAAGGAACATGACACTGATGGGGGCACCTTTCAAGAGAGAGTGGAGCTGAGAGGCTGGCGAGGGAAAGAGGGCGTTGGTCTGGCCGTGGCCCTCCAGGTTGGGTACCTGCATCATCATAGAACATCCGAAAGCTGTCAGTGTGGTGGTGCCCGAAGAACTGCCCTGCGATGACTCGATGATGCTTCCCGACCACTTTAAGGTACTCCTGGTTGGGGCCCTCCCGGAACCACGCTTTGTTCCGCGTCTTCTCAAAGAACCCAGGGGGCACATGGCCGATAATGTACACCTACGAGGAAGGGGTGCCCAGCAGGGGCTCAGAGACCCCTTCCACAACTCTTCATCTCTACCTCTCACAACCTGCCCGTCTCCCCAGAGGCAAGCAGATGGGCTCAAAGGTACCTCCTCCCCCATCCCTCTCCCAGGTGATCCGGCATCTCCCTGTACCCAGAAATGAATGTGCCACATGCTTCCCTCCCGCTGTGCCTTTACCCATCCTATGCCTGCCACCTGGAGCGCCCTTCTCATTTTCACTTCTGTAAATGCTACTCATGCTTCAAAACCCAGCTCAAAGGATACGTCCTCCTGAAACGTTTCTGATCCTTCAGAGACAAGTCTTCTCTTCTTGGAGAGCTCAGGCACTGTAACCAAACCTTCCTTGCATGGTTGTGTAGCATATGCTGTGTGGTAATGTGTGTTCACGTCTTACATTCCTCGAGTCTCTCAGCTAACAATGCCTGGGCCCTTGGTCCCCGTTGCAAGAGGTAGAATGGGGGACGGGGGCAGTGGTAGGAAGGGCAGTTAAGAGCATGAGCTTTGGAGCCAAGCTGCAGCTGGACACCAGCTGTGTGTCACCTCTCTGAGCTTCAGTTTTCTCATCGGGAAGGACACCTAACTGGTGGAGATATGAGAGTTAAATGAGATCATCCATGTAAAGCACTTAGCAACGTATCTGATGCATAGTGAGGGCAAAAGCACTGGCCATGAGATCCTGCTGGGATGCGCTGGTCAGAGCAGGGACTCAGGCAAATGAGACACAGGGTCAGTCATCGGGGACCTGCTAGCCCAGCAGACTAGATGGACACACCTCAAGGGCAGGGCATCCCCTTGAGGTCTAGCCCACAGTGCGGCTGCAGCTGTGCTGGCCTTGGATTCTGGAGACTGGGGTTCTAGTCTAGGCCCACCACTTATTGTGGGCCTCGAGACTGTCACTGCCCACCAGGAGCCTCACATCTGCAATGGACTCCAGGGCCCCAGCCTCAGGGGCTGTTGTGAGGATGGAAGCAGCCCCCTCAGGTGCCGAGCTGATGAAAGACCCTCTGTGATGTGGGCATCTCAAGTGAGTGGGTGAGTCTGTGCCAAAGTAGGGGACTTGTATGGGAAGAGACCCCAGGGAGGGAAGAGGAGGAGTGGGGAGCCCTTACCATTTCCCCAGCTTGGGACGCATTGGTCAGCACATCATCCAGCCACTGGAACTGCTGGCCAGGGTCGGCCATGCCGGCCGTCTGCTCGTTGTTGCTATAGTACAGATTGGTGTTGAGGACCACGATTCGCCCAGCCGCACTTGGCCCCGGCAGTTTCTCAGAATAGAAGGCACCTAGGACATCACAGCCAGGGGGAATCTGAAGGGGTCTCCAGCCTCCGAACAGACACACCTCTGTCCCCCTCCACTTCACTCCCCCACCTCCTCCTTCCCTTGCCTCCTCCCTTCCCATCTTTCCCATAGGAGTGGCATTGTGGGTAAGACCAAAGGCCCTGGAGCCAGGCTGCCTGGGTTCAAGTCCTGGCTCTATCACTTCCTAGCTGTGCAACTTGGGAAAGTTCCTTAACCTCTCTATGCCTCAGTTTCCTCCTCCGTATAATGGGCATAACATAGAGGTGTGTTTGCCCCTCCAGATCCACTGTCAACCCTTCTCCACTCAGCTCTCTGCCCCAGGAGCTGTGGGTTAAATCTATGGGCTTCTGTGCTGTGAGCTTCTGGTTGGGTTTGACCAATGGGGAGCCCCAACAGCAAGGGACTGAGGAAAGGAAGGGGAGGAGGTCAGGTCACTTTGGGATACTGTGTCTCCAAACCAGTGATTCTCAACCTGGTTATTTTGTCCCCAAGGGAACACTTGGCAACATCCAGAGACATTTTTGGTTTTCACACCTGGAGGTGTTACTAGCAACTAGTGGATAGAGGCCAGGGATGCTGCTAAGCACCCTACAATGTACAGGACAGCCCCCCAACAAAGAATATTCCAGCCCCAAATGTCAACAGTGGCAAGGTTGAGAAACCTGGCCTGAACTGAAGGCCACTGCCCCTACCTAGGATTGTTGTAAGGAGTCTAGCAGTGTGCTGAGGGCAGTTCCGGGCACACAGGAAATGCTCAGTGAATATTCTCTTATGATCCTCATTAGTGCTGTGGAGTTAAGAACATGGGCATTGGAATCAGCCCTGGATCCTACTCCCAAGTCTGCCTCCTCTAAGCTGGGTGACCTTGGCCAAGTGACTTGGTATGTTCAAGCCTCGGTCTCCTTATCTGTAAAATGGGGATAAAATCAGTCCCTATTTCATGGGGACGTTGTGAAGATGAAGTTAGATCAGACCTTGGCATAAAGTGCTCCTTACAGTAGCAAATGGTGTTAGTACCTTCTTTGAAGAGAGCAATGGATTCGTTACTGAGCCAGGGTCGCCACAGCTCTGCTACCCGATTGTAGATATTGTTGCTTCCGGCCGGGAACTGGTTTTTGGGGTGAAAGTCATGATTTCCCAAAGCCGCATAGACTTTAGTATCTGGGAGGAAAAAGAAAAATATAAGAATATATATGCAAAAGTGCTTAGTGGAGTTAGTTTCAGCCACTGGCTATCAGAGCTAATAGGGAAGAGCTATAGCACAGATAAGGAAAAATACAGAGCCGAGCAGAAAACCACATTATAGAATCTGGCAGAACTTGGCTCAGATCTGGGAAGGAAGAGCAGTGAGTTCTCTAACTCCATTCCCAGCAGAAAGTTCCGTGGTCAGAAATGAAGCATGAGATGAGGAGGAGAAAGCTAGATCCAAATAACCTTCAGGTCCATGATCAGCCACTTGGTCATTTAGTGTGCCTTGTTCTTGTCAATTCCAGATCCATCTTACTGTCAGGGAAGGGGTCTGCTGCACCCTGGAAGGCCTGGGGAGTTTCACTCATTCATGAATCAACAAATATTTATTGAGCACCTAGTACATGCAAACGTGTAAACCTGGGCCCCCAGGCCCAGGCCCAGAGGCCTGGCAGTGCAATAGGGTTGATAGGCATTGAGTAATGGCTGTCACAAAAAGGGAAAAGCCACTTGCTGTGGGAGTGTATAACAGGAGTGGGAGTGGGGGTCAGGGGAGCCTCCCTGAGGATGTGGCCTGTGAATGAACCCAGGAGGGAGAGGGGAGCCTGTCAGACTCATTTCTTCCTTGTGAGTAGCCTCACTCCTGCTTTTATTTTACATCTGTGTCTGGCATGTAGTCGTTGCTCAATAAATATTTGATAGTAAACAAAAACTCCTCTGAGCTCAAGGCAGGGCCTTGCCCTTATATGAGCTTGGCTTACCCCAGGGAGTGAACTTGAACCAATGAGGAAGCCTGGCGCCTCCAATTCCTAGTTGAAAAAATGATTCTAACAAACCCTTTACCCTGTATTGCCTACAAGATCTGGAAATGCTAAGCTCTGCCAAAGGAGGAGGCCGTAGAATTCCCATGAGGAATTAGTCACAAAGCCAGAAGTCATGGCTGTGACTGCCTGAAAGAAAACCTCACCTCTCTAACACAGATGGAGGCAGCCATAAGAATTCATTTAAGGACTTCCCTGGTGGCGCAGTGGTTAAGAATCCGCCTGCCAATGCAGGGGACATGGGTTCGAGCCCTTGTCTGGGAAGATCCCACATGCCGCGGAGCAACTAAGCCCGTGTACCACAACTACTGAGCCTGCGCTCTAGAGCCCGCAAGCCACAACTGCTGAGCCTGTGTGCCACAACCACTGAAGCCCGCACGCCTAGAGCCTGCGCTCTGTAACAAGAGAAGCCACCGCAATGAGAAGCCTGCGCACTGCCACGAGCCCCACCCCCTCACTGCAACTAGAGAAAGACTGCGCGCAGCAAAGAAGACCCAGTGCAGCCAAAAATAAATAAATAAACAACAGAATTAAATACAGCTCTGATATTTATTAAAAAAAAAAAAAAGAATTCATTTAAGAGAAAACACAAATCCCTGGCATCCCAAAGGCAGATGAGAAGGGAGGTTATCTCTCCCGGTTTATAAGCAGATAAGGTGGGGGGTGCCCGGAGACATAAGAGAAGCCATTTTTGGCCTAAGCCATTTTGGGATCTGAGCCTGGCTACAATGCTTGCCCTTGAACAGATCTCAGTAACAATGATCTTAAGGGAACAAAAGCACAAACTACTGTTATCAGGCAAGAGAAGTAACAAGGGCAAAGATAATAAATCAGTTGTAAAGACTCCCAGTTCTGTTTCAATGGTACAGATTAGCCTGAAGCACTGTCTTGAGCTGTTTGGCAGAATTTAAACGCCCTCGACCACCGTGAGATCAACTGGAACCTAAGGAATGATGATGCTGACCTTTGCTGACCCTTGTGACTTCAATCAACTAAAGCTTGGACTCTGTCAACCTTTGCCCCAATTCTAAGTTGCATTCTCCTGCTCAAGCCCCTTCATGAATATGCATATATCCTTAGCTTAAAGCTTCCCCAGTTTTGCTGTTGAAGGACACACTGATTTGGAAAGATCCCTGGTTTTCTCCTTACTTGTTGCAAGTAATCAATCCTTCCTTCTCCTGATCTTTGGCTTGGTTGTGTCTTTTGGCTTGACACCCACCAAGAGGCAAACCCAGTTTTGGGGTAACAGGTTTTGGCCACTTCTATGTGTCGGGCACTGTTAGAAGATCCTTACAAGCCTAAGCTCCATCAGGGCATGACCTGGCATCTTGTTCACGGCCACATCCCCTACCCCTAGCGTGGTGTCTCACCCGTAGAGAACACTCAAATATTTGTTGACTGACTAAATGAATGTATGGATTACCTTATTTAATCCTCATAACAACCCTTTGGGCAGGTACCATTATTTTCCTCATTTTGCACAGGGAGAACACTGTGTGTCCAGAGGATGGCTCAGCTAGAGCGTGGCAGGACCTGAATTGGGACCTGGATCAGTTTGCCTTGCACACCTGCGTTTACCATTGGTGGAAAGACAGGGACCAGTGTTCACAGTGACTCTGGTGGGGGGGACACGTGGCAGGAAGAACTCATGACATGGAACCAAAATCTCAAATTTCAGTCCCTTCCTCTTCTCCAACAAGTTGCTTCAGCTTATTTATCTCTATGATAGGGAGTGTTCTGCTTGACCTGTGCTGCTACCATTCTCAAATAAGATAATGCCTCATTTCACCTCTTCCAATGTGTTCATATTTTAACATCTCTATAAGTGGGATGTGTCTTACCATTGAGACCATGAGAAAGTTCTGTGTCATACTTTAATGGACAGCAATTTTTTTTTCTTTTTTTTCTTTTGGCCACGCCATGCAACTTAAAGGATCTTAGTTCCCCAACCAGGGATTGAACCCGCACCCCCTGCAGTAAAAAGGCTGAGTCCTAACCACTGGACCACCAGGGAATTTCCTGGAGAGCATTTTTTTTCTTAGCGATACATAAAATAATGAAACATCTTACAGCCAATGGTATCTTGGATTTAGGAAATTCAATAAATGTGCAAGCGTGTTATAAACTGTAAAATCTTATTTACACTTGTATGTTAAGTCATAGTAATAAAGCATTTTCTTATCCATTATTTCACTTTTATTCCTGAAGCCCCATGTGGAGCAGAGAAAAGAGTGCTCAGTGTTGGATCTGAGTGTGAATCCCTCCCTAGGAACTGACTAGCTTTGAGCCATAGGTTCCTTATATATACACTGGGGATAATAATACCTATTGTTGCCATGGGGGAGAGTGTCCTGGTTTGAACCTAGTAGCGACTTCTGCTGGAAGACGAACTAGCCCAAGCATGTCTGGGTTGGGTCGGGTTGGGTTGAGTTACATAGACTAGAGGCATCAAGGCAACTTCTTTGCACACACTGATTTACGTTGAGGGAAGGAGATGTCAGAAATGAGGTTGCCTTGGGGACAGATGTGGGATGGTAACAGCAGCTCGGGGGCCCCTCCTGGAGTGGCAGTAGGAGTGATAGGTAAGAGATGTCCTCAAACCAGGATCTGCATCCTCAACCTTGCCTGTTTCCTTGACCCCAAGGCTCACATTCGTCATCAGTAAAAACGTGAGACAGCTCCACTCTCCATGAGTCTCCTGAGTCTCATTCCTGACAGTGAACGAGCTGAGGCATATAATTTTCTTAGAGGAGTGCCTGACACTTAGCCCTTGATACATGGATACATATAGTTGTTCTTGCCACTGCTATTACTTGTTTTTATTATCATTATTTCATATCTGGGTCCTGGGGACCCATGACCAAGACCTTTAGAGGAAGCAGCTGTGCTGGAACCCAAAGGAGATTGGGGGATGGGGAGGGGGGGGTCCTAGGGGTCTGCTTTCACAGGTGTCCAGCTGGCGGGCTGAGAGCCTGATTCAGCCCCCAGGACCTTGTGTTTGGCACAGCCTGATTAAAGCCATTTTCAAGGGCCATTAGATGGAGCACCCAGGCTACATTCTCCCTGTCAAGTCCCGTGGGGTTGCTACCATAATCACTCGTGGTCCTGGCCTGCTCTCCCAGGCTCTGAAGGCCTCGGATTGCACCACGAAACAGCACTTTGGCTGGAAATCAGCATCTCCCCAAAGTCCCAGCAGCTGGGACAGTTTAAAGGCAGTAGATGGCAATTCCAGAGCCACAGCAGGACGCAAGGGCTGTGTGCGAGCCCACGTGAGACTCACCCAGGGAAGATGCCTAAATATAACAGTAAATGCCTTGAGAAGGGGCTGTGAGCCTGGTGTTAAGCTGTCAGGACAGAAGCCAGTGAAATGTCAGGCATTTCCATTATTAAAAAAGAAACAACAGGTCCAAAATGGAGTTACCTGTGCTAAGTCCCAGGTCAGCAAACCAAGTTAGGTATTAACCAAGTTAATACCTAACCTAACTGAAGTTTCAGCCTCTCCCAAGAATGTGACCTTTAAACAGTCAATCTGGAATTACCTGGTCAGCACTAGTGAGGAAATCTGCCTGATAAGACACCACCCCTTCCCGTAAATGGAGGTAACCTTGCCTGAAACAATCCACTTTTTGCTAGAATCTTCCTTTTTCCACTGCCTTCCGTTTATAAAACCTTCCATTCGTACAACTCCTTGGAGTGCCTTTCTTTTTTTTTTTTTCTTTTTTTTCTTTTTGGCCGCACTGCACAGGATGTGGAATCTTAGTTCCCCGACCAGGGATCGAGCCCGCGCCCCATGCAGTGGAAGGGCAGAGTCTTAACCACTGGACCACCAGGGAAGTTCCTGGAGCTCCTTTCTATTTGCTAGATGGGATGTTGCCTGATTCGTGAATTGTTGAATACAGCCAAATAGATCTTCAGATTTACTCAGTTGAATTTGGTTTTTTAACACCATTAACAGGATTCTATGTGTATCCACAGGCTGACAAACTCTCATGTTCCTTACAGGGTTGTTGGAAGGTAAGACACAATCGCTGTGAAGTGCCTGGCCCGGGACTTGGCCAGCAGCCATCATTGTCCACGGGTGAAGGTCGTTCCTCTGCATCTTGCTGCCGTTGTCGTCCCACTGTGCCAGGCACCGCCTGGGCATCAGGGAGTGCTGTGGGGACCTGGGGCAAAGTCTTACCTGGAAAGGCCTCTCTGATGAGCTCGGTCAGGCTCTCCACAATTTGCAGCACGGCCGCCTCTCCCAGGTTCTCGTTGGGCACGTGGGGCGTGTCATCACTGCAAAACACCGCCGGGCAGCTCGGGAAGTGGCACAAGGAAAAGAAGGGACGGCTCTACCACAAGAAAAGAGACTGCAGAACTGAGCCTCAGACAGCTACTGAAGGGGAATGACCAGGCTGGAGTTGGGAGTCACGTGGGACAAAGTCCAAACCCAGGCTCTGCCATTGACCGGCTGTGAGTCCCTGGGCTGGTTGTTTAACCTCTCTGAGCTTCTATTAGCTCATCTATAAAATAGGGACAATAATGGTATCTACACACAGAGTATTTATGGGATTTCAATAAAGGGGGAAAAAAATATATAAAATGTAGTAGCTGCTAGGTTGCAGTTAATATGGTCTTGAGAGGGAAGCTCTGGGTTTCCAGTCTCATCTGCAAGCCCCTGGGGAGCTTGGGATGAAGAAACCATGTCTGAGTTCTGAGTTTCCGCAAAGGTTCTAAGGAGTTTGGAGCTGGCTTCAGAATATAGAATTCAGATCTACTCTGGTAGGCCGAGGACCTACCCCAGGACCATTTAGTCCCCCACGTTTGACAGACCTAAATTCCTGGATCCACCTTAGAAAGATGCAGCAAGGTGGGGGAAGAAGTGGGCAAGGAGGTTTGCAGGGTGCTGAGAGCCCTCACAACTAAAGCCTGAGGACTCTGCTGGACCGACGGGGCGAGGCAGCTGCTGCCCAGAGACTCCCCAGGGAAGTTAATTAGCTGAATCGCTCTGAGACCGCTACTGGCAGCCCACCCTGGCTCACTTTGTGCTGGGTACTTTCTGTGTATTGTACCCTTATCCACTAATTTGTTCTTCATAATAACCCTACAACATAGGATCTACTGTTAGTGCCATTTGACAGATAAAGGAACCAAGGCACAGAAAGGTGAAGGATCCTGCCTAATGTATACACCTAGACAGTGGTGGAGTCAGAGTTTGAACGAGTCAGCCTGGCTCCAGAGTCTATGCTCACATCCATTACATCCTACTGTGATTCTGATACCCTCATTAGGGCAGTAAAAGGGCCTTTTAGCCCTGTCCTCCCTGGGGACAGGCCAGGAATACGAAGATAGAACAAAATTCCTTTTTTTTTTTTTCTAGTTTGGAGCATTTAATTCTGTGTGATAGAAAACACAACCGATTTCTACAGGTTATCCCTCAGGGGATTGCAAAAACACCTCCAATTTCTACAGGTTATCCACCAAGGAACTGCAATTCTCCCGGAGAGGTCCAATTTCTTAGAAATTGAAGAATTATGAAGGGTCCTAGAGGTCATCTTGTCCAATGCCATACACCTCTGCGAGTCCCAGAGATTTCCCAGAAAAATCATGCTTCTGTTAAAGGGTCATGAATCTCCCAGAGGGATCAAATCTTTTAGAATGTTACGCATTTCTCCAAGGGCCCCTCCTCAGACAGCAGGAGGCCAGAGTCGTGGCCTAAATCTCACTCTCTCCTTAGATGGATTCCTGGGCCCAGGGAAGCCAGAGCTGCCCAGGCCCCTGCTGAGACACTGTCACATTTCTTAAGTGTCCAGCCTTGCCCCTCCCGCTGCTGACCACATAGTCCATCTGAGGGTCATTCCGATAGCTCCCATGTCACACTGAGGGGCAGCTGGGGACGCCATGGGTTTGATCCTGCCTTCCCTACAGAAGTGTCCATAGAGGCTGGAGGAGGACACAAGCAGCCCGAGCTCCTGCCAGCACTCCTCACCCGCTCCCTGGTTCACCGCTTCCTGCAGGAAGTCCTCCGCCATCCCACCAGAGGGAGTCAGGTGCCCTGTGAAGCTCCCCCATCCACCCAGTGACCCTCTGTCCTCGCTGGGATACAATGGTCAGTGGCCTTGTCTGTGTCGCCCGGGAGACCACGAGCTCCCTGAAGGAGTGTCCAGGTCCCTATCACCTCTGTTCCCCCCGTCTCCTGGGGGTGAGCACAAGACAGGCTGACCTACCAAGGGAGGGAGGGAAGGAACGAATGAGTGAAGGAAGGACCTCGAGTGCTGAGGGAACTCAGAGGACTTCCAGCAGCATCCATGGATGAGCAGCAGGAATGGCATCTCTGTGGCTGAGCTGAAATCACCCCTCAAGCTCTCTCCACACAGAGTAGCGCTCTGACCAGTGAGGATCCCCAGGGCCAGGGCAGCCGGGGGTGGCCTGCAGCTGACCAGGACACTTGGTCCCAATACTGGCTCACCTTCAGCCCTCCTACCTTCTCCCCTCCCTGTATTTGGATCTCTGGGGCTTGCAGTCCCCAAACCCCACTGGGAGTGGCGCCAGTGTTCAGCGACCCCCACGCCCACCCCCAACTTAAAATCCGGGAGTTCCCCACATGCCCAGACATGCCATGACCGTGTCCCCAGCCTCCGTGAGAGCCATATTCTGCTGAGGCCGTAAGACACAAGATCAAGGGCACAGACCCTGGAATCAGCCAGGCCCAGGCTCCCCTGGACAAGCTTTGAGCTTCAGGTTCATCCTCTCTGCAACAGGGCTGGTGAGGACTGAGGGAGATGGTGTGGGGAAGGTGCCAGGCAGGCTTGGGGCACAGGTGGTGGCCCGGGGAAGGGTAGCTGTGGTGATGGCTCTCACCCAGTCCAGAGGATGAAATCTGGCTCTGGCTCAATCTCCTTCATGGCGTAGATAGAGGAGTTGATGAGGATCCAGGGAGAATCGCAGAGGTAGTTGCCCCAGGGGCCCGCATTGGGCACCGGCTGGGAGCCAGCGGATGGGCACACCTGGAGGGGGTCTTCAGACACCTTGTAGTCCGGGTCAAGGTGCAGGTCAGAGATGTGCCAGAACTTCCCTGCAGAGGCAAGGAGTCCCTGCTCAGTGCAGGTCTCTCCCTGAGTCTGGATGTGGCGGGAGTCAAGGGAACCCTGGGCTGGGGGAAGGGAGCTTGCACAGGTAAAAGGAAGTTTTCTCCGAACCCAGGGCCTGGTTTTGCCCAGGGAGGCACTGAGCAGAGCAGAAGACAGGCTTGGTCCTGTCCCTGACCTCTGACCTTTGACAAGCCCCTTTCTATCTCCCCACCTCAGTCTCCCCAGCAGCAGCATGAGAGATGGACTGCGTGACCCTCAAGAATTCTTTGGGGGACTTCCCTGGTGGCACAGTGGTTAAGAATCCGCCTGCCAATGCAGGGGACACGGGTTCAAGCCCTGGCCCAGGAAGATCCCGCATGCTGCAGAGCAACTAAGCCCACGCGCCACAACTACTGAAGCCTGCGCACCTAGAGCCTGTGCTCCACAACAAGAGAAGCCACCAAAATGAGAAGCCCGCGCACCGCAAGGAAGAGTAGCCCTTGCTCTCCGCAAGTAGAGAAAGCCCGCGCGCAGCAACGAAGACCCAACGCTGCCAAAAATAAATAAATAAATTTTTTTTTTTAAAAAAAGAAACGCTTTGGGAGTTCTAAGCAAAGTGCTTGTTTTAAAGCAAAGGTGGGTTAAGCGCCCAGGCTCTGGAGCCACATACTAGCTGTGTGACCATGGGCAAGTTGCTTCACCTCTCTGAGACCATAACTAGAGCCAAATCTTTTCAGCAGGGAAATACATACAAAAATCTGACCTGGGAGAAGGCTGACACATCACATGCATTGTAAGATCTTGCTGATCAGTACCAGCAAAAACCTGGGGAATATGTGTGGAAATGGAGTTTACAAGTACGAGGCCAGAAAATAAGGAACGTAACTGCAGATTGGGTTGAGTTTCTTATTGTGGGTACACTTGTTAGTGACTCTGGATGCGGGGTAAAATGCCAAAAATCTCTTGGTGTAATACAGAGGACGGAACCCAAAGAAACTGGCCACGTGGAGTGGCTTTATCATCTGTCTAGCACAAGACCTGGTATAAGTGGTTTCAATGATGCTTATTGAAGGAGGGTGTTGAGCAGGTTTGGTCTCTGCCCTAAATCCTATTTCTGGCTAAAGCAGGGGTGAGGCCTGGAATTTCCTCACTCTCCACCATTGCTGTCACCTCCTCCTCCACTTCCTGTGTCGCTCAGACTCAGAGCCAATAGCCAACACCCACCCCATCCCAGGAAAGTGGGCCTGGGCCTGGGGGTCCCGCTTTTGTTGCTTTCAGGGTTGGATCAGTCAGTCTCCCACTCCCTCAAGCCGTCCCTCCCCCCGTCCCCGCCACAGGACCATCAGTGGGGCTCTAAGGCCTGAAGGTAAAGTCTGGACCCTGATCTCACTCCTTGACTTTTACTCCAGATGCTTCTGAGCTTCTGCCCACCTGTCCTGATCTAAACCTCAACTCAGGAAAGGATCAAAAACTTGTTCATGGGACTTCCCTGGTGGCACAGTGGTTAAGAATCTGCCTGCCAATGCAGGGGACACGGGTTTGAGCCCTGGTCCAGGAAGATCCCACATGCCACAGAGCAACTAAGCCCGTGCACCACAACTACTGAGCCCGAGCGCCACAACTACTGAAGCCCACGTGCCTAGAGCCCATGCTCCACAACAAGAGAAACCACCACAATGAGAAGCCCATGCACTGCTACAAAGAGCAGCCCCTGCTCGCCGCAACTAGAGAGAGCCCATGTGCAGCAACAAAGACCCATCGCAGCCAAAATAAAATAAATAAATAAATTTATTTTTAAAAAAACAAAAAACAAAGGTACACACTAAGTTGCAAATGACTGATTAAGCAAATCATGGCCCCTCCCAAGGTCATTATATGGTCATCCTCACTACAGCCCTGAAGGGATCGACCTCATTTTGCAGATAAGGAAACTAAGGTTCAGAGGTCAACATGCCTGAGATATCATGGTAAATGGTGGGGGTCCTCTGGCTCCCTATCCTCTCCCAGGAAGATGTGATTGCTAAGGGGGTAAAACCAGTGCCTTTTATTTTAACTATGTCTTTTTGTAGATAGTCTATGCCTGCATTTTAATTTTTTACCCAAACTGAAAGTCTTTGTTTATAACGGCGGGAATTTAAACTTTTCACACAAATTGTGATCACTAATATATTTGAAATTACTTCTACAGGGGCAAAATCCTAAGCCAGAGGAAAGAAAATAACCTCCGCATTTCAACTAGTTAATGGGTAGAGTTGATGGACTTTCCCAAGCCTCTGCCAGAGGCGATGAGCGGGTCACACCTGCTTCTAAGCCTGAGGGTAGGCGAGGTTGGCTGTGGAAGCGAGAGGCCCTTTGCCCTTTTCTCTGGCACGTGGGTCCCTTGCCTTCTCTGCAGACCATGCAGAGACCATTCCCCTGCCTCAAGCCAGCTCTTTCTCAACTAACCACAAACATGGAGCAATTCTGCCCCTTTGACATCAGCCCTCAAAGTACTCAAAGGTTATTTCTCCACTTCAGAGACTCCTTGCCTGAGGCTGTCAGCTGTTGGTTTGTCTCTTCCTGCAAGCTCCGGACTAGTCAGCCGTAGAACTAAAACTCCTTGCAGCCTCCCTCACACTTCCTAGGACCTCTGAGTGCGTGCATGCATGTATGTGCATGTGTGTGTTCATATGTGTGTATGTGCTTTTTGTGTGTGTGTATGTATATGCGTGTGCATGGGTGTGTGCATGCGTGCCCACGTCCTCAAAGGCCTGACTTCAGGAGAGGCCAGGACAGTGGAAAGAATGGCAGAGAGAGGGACTTCCCTGGTGGCGCAGTGGTTAAGAATCCGCCTGTTCTTCCTTCTTGGCTCTCACAGCATTTGGCCCATTCCCTCTCATAGTAGCCATCACACTGTTTGCCTGTCACTTTCCCCCATAAGCCCCTTCAGCTTTGCACAGTGCCTGGTGGGCAGCAGGTGCTCAGTCAATGTTTAATTTATTGAACTGAATAAAGATGACAAAAGATTAAATATGTTAAGTACTCATTACAAGTAAAAGAGCATTGTAGAAGCTCATCAGTGAAATCCCATGCAGTCAAGAGACTCATTCATTCAACAAACGTTCATTAGGACTTCCCTGGTGGCACAGTGGTTAAGAAGCCGCCTGCCAGTGCAGGCGCCACGGGTCCGAGCCCTGGTCTGGGAAGATCCCACATGCCGTGGAGCAACTAAGCCCGCGTGCCACAGCTACTGAACCTGCGCTCTAGAGCCTGCGAGCCACAACTACTGAGCCCACATGCCACAACTACTGAAGCCCACGCGCCTAGAGCCCATGCTCCACAGCAAGAGAAGCCACCACAATGAGAGGCCTGTGCACCGCAACAGAGTAGCCCCCGCTCGCCGCAATTAAAAAGAAAGCCCGCACGCAAGCCATAAATAAATTAATTAATTAAAAAGAAAAAGAAAAAGAATGGCAGAGAGAGCCAGAGATCTAGGCAGGGGCTCCACCTCAGGCTGCAGTGTCCTCATTGTGGTGTCTGATCACAGATCCTTCCTCTGCTGCTTTGCCCAACCCCACCCACCCGCTCTCCTCACAGGGCCTCTTTTCTGGCTCCTCTGCCACCTTCCCCAGTCCTCCCCAAGTCATCGCATGGCTGCTTTCTCCTCTTCATTCAGGCCTCAGCTCGAAGGTCACCTCCTCAGAGAAGCCCCCCCGACTACCTTTGCTCAAGTTCCACTTCCTCCCGCCCCTCTGGTCACTAGCTATGTGACTCCCCCAGTTTTATTTTCTTCAGAGCACTCTCACATATAAACTTATCTTGTTGGCTTGCTTGTCAGCCATCTTCCCCTTCTTTAGTGTCAGTCCCATGAGGGCATAAAGCCTGTCTTGTTCATCCCTGTGTCCTCAGCACCCAGAACAGTGCCTGGGATGTGGAAGATGCCCATATAGTTGATGAACGAACAAGGCTGTGGGGAGGATGATTGGACTGGTAAGCACTCAAAGAATGTTAGCCAGGTGTCCTTCACATGCTCATCTCATTTCATCCTTGCAACCATTCTGTGAGGTGGGATTCTTATGCCCATTTCACAGATGAGGAAACTGAGGCTCGAACCCAACCTCTCTGACTGCAAAGCTGAGACACAATGTTGACTCAGAGCCCCCAGAAGGCTTTTGTAATACATCTATGTTACCCATAAAAGATAGGAGCCACAGGCTTCTATGGAGTTGGTCACAGAATGTGAGGAGTTAAGCTCTAATTATCATGTCATGGAGAAGAGGATGGGCACCTCCTGGAGAGGGAGGCAGGTTATTGGGTTTCTAATCCAGGCTCTCTGGGCAAGCCAGCTGGCCTGAGGGTGTTTGACGCCTGCCCTGCTTGTTGTGAGCATCAAATAAGACAGTGAACAAGAAAGAGCTAGTCCAGAAGACTCTCAACACACCACTGTCCCTGGCAATTACCTGCGGGGCCAGGAGTGAGACTGGGAGGGTGTGGGGAGTTGGGCACTTTAACACTTTATCCTTTGGACCAGAGCTTCTCAAACATTACCACGCAGTTGCCTCACCTGGGGAATCTCATGAAAATTAAGATGCTTTCTATATTCATACTGCTTGGATATTTTACAGTAAGAAAGTATTCATATAATCTTTGAGTTTTAAGAAGAGGTATACCAATCTTAGCTGTCATTGTTATTCATTAATTTAGCATCAAATCCAGTGAGAAGTTGAGGGCACAGACCTGGGTTGGAATTCCAGCTCCAGTGCCCACTAACTGGGTGAACTACTCTGTGCCTGCTTCCTCATCTGTAAAATGGGGACAACAGCGCCCCCCAGCTTTTATGGTTATTGTGAGGTTTAAAATGAGAGAATATGAGAATATGCATAAGCACTCAGCAAAGCCAAGCAGCAGTTACTTTGAATTTGGTCCCTGAGGTGTCCTGAAAGTCCCCTTTCACCATGGAAGGGAGAAGGGACCAGGGGAGTGGCTGTGTCCTTCCCCTGCCTGCCCCAGCGTCCCCTCAGCTGCT